TCATAAAACCACAGGACAGTTGGAATATAGTCTCAGAAAGTATGGAAGTACGACATATATCAGTAACTGGATAAACGCCAACATGCTTAAACTTAATCGGGAAAAGACGTCAGCAAACAATGGCTCTCCAGCTCAAGGTTGGTGTCAGAACTATTGAGACTGTTCCAGCTGTTAAAAACCTAGGGGTAAACTTTGCCAGTTCTCTGAACATGAAGAAACAAGTGATCGCTATTGCCAAATCCTGTTACTACCAGATCAGGATTATCGGCTGTATTCGGCAGTTTCTAACTGCAGATGCATGCAAAATTTTGGTGCATTCACTTGTTACCTCTCGGTTCGATTATGGTAACGCCCTGCTCTGTGGTATATATGACAAACTAACTAGTCGTCTGCAGAGGGTCCAGAACACTGCAGCACGGCTAGTTACTCGTACTCGAAAGAGAGAGCACATCACATCTGCGATTTATTCGTTGCACTGGTTACCTGTAAGATACAGGTCGCAGTACTAAATTCTGGTATACACATACAAGGCACTGAATGGAACAGCTCCTCAGTACCTACAATCCCTAATAATAAGAAAAAACATAGCAATAACAATAGGTATTTCCATCCGAAATGGAAATCCCTAATAACTCTGTGAAAATAGTGGTTTGTAAAATATCAAGATCCCTATAAAATGCAAATGCATGTGCGTGCACGTGATAACGGCATACCATGCGATAGCCTATGGTTACATATGTACCTGACATGTAGATATACCATGCGTAAGCGGGCTATGGAATGATGTCCAAAATGTACCTGATTGAGAGTATTTTTTCCCATAAAAGAACAGTAAATTGACAATTAAATATAGTAATTTATAGTATTTCCGTCGAGCATTTTGTTTGAATAACTTACATTGCTTTCGGTTTATTTAGATTCACTTCTTTAATGATTTTTATTATTTTGTCATCTCTTATTCTATTAATATTTACTTGTAATAACATCGAAGCATTGTGCCCTTTGCATATACTAAAATTTAAAGGCAGAAACATTTTCTATTGTTTTAGATTGTTCTTTAGCAGGCTAATTACCGGGAAAATGTTTATGTTGGTTGAAGTTTATAATTATTTGATCCTTCAATATATATCATTTTTTGTAAGTTATAGATTATTTAGGTGTATTTTAAGTGTTTTTTTATAGAATTACTTTTTCAATCTTTGTATGTGATTTATTTATCTGCTGCTGAGCGAAATTTTCTTTCAATGTTTTCAACTTGTGATATCATATTTCTTAAATTTTCTCAATCACAAAGTAGGGCATGTATGTATCTGAATTTCCATGACCCTTTCCCAGTTTAAAATTTCAAAACTGAATAAATCCAAATATTTAAGGTTGTTGAGCATGTATTGCATACAAATTCATATATCACATCAAGTGTATGTTATATGAAACGTTTCGATGAGCAATAGATATTTACTAATATTTATCAAAAAAAATTTAACTCATAATTGCCTTGGTCTAATTTATACCCTGGCTGTATTTATTGTGTATACCTAAATGTTTCTCAAACTCTATTTCTTGATTGAGTTCCAAATTTTGTATTTCCTCTTGGAATTCTAAACGTGACTTTGTTTTAATAATAAAAGTCCAATTGTGGATTAAGACTTTATTGTAATCTACGAGTACAATTATCTAATAATTTTCTAACGTAAATTCGACTCTTTCATATATATCAATTTCAGTATAGAGTAACAAGTTTTATTCTTTCATCTTCCAAACTAACGGTATTGTCTTTTTTATCACGGAGAGTCGTGTATTCATGTTATTGTTAACATGAATGGTCATCACTTTCCCGGGTGTAAAAAAAGGAAAGCATTGAATATTATAATGCATGACGATACTGCAGAAGTGGAAATGTGAGCGTGTGAAAATTGGCGATGGTAATGCTTCTGAAATCTATATTTTGTTGTGTCTATAGTTCAAATAAACTACGAAGAAATATGCGTGTGTTGATATTTTTGCGCTAAATTTTCTTGCGTTTTGCCAGCATTTCTTAGCCGCGAAAATGTCCATTTTAACATTACGCGTTAACGATTTCTATGTTATTGTAAACATGATGTACATAATAATATACCATTCGAATTAAGACTTCATGTGATTTAGTTTATGATGTACAACCTGAGAGGAAATATCACCCTGAGCCCCAGATATCAATACAAAGGTCAAAACAGGATTCTTTGTTTCCGTAGGCAGCTGTCTACATATAATCGTTGATGATGCGAGAAATTAAACCCAACACAAACAAAAATATGCTGTAGTACTGGACACAACAACTAGAATAAATGCAGCGATTTTACTTTCAACAGTTAAAAATTCATATCCATGTTTTCGGAAATGTTTATACTTTCTATTAATATCAAATACAGTTTTGGTATTTTGGTCTTTTCATTTCGCGCATGGTAACACAATAACGTCTTGTATGAATATTACAAATCGGAAGCAAAAAGAGCATTGTCCGAACATTGAATTAAGGTTTCCGCTGAACTTTCCTACTGTCTCTAAGCATATTTTAATGTTTATTGTATAAATAATTAAACATCGAACGGAAATATTTAGCGTAATACAACGAATTGAATTTGCCTAAAATTCTGTAATAAATAAAAAAAAATCCTCAACACGGATAAAGAAGAATACAATGTGTGAAAAAAAAAATGAATAACAATTTTAAAAGCTGCATGAGTTTATAGTCCAACCCTCTTTTATAAGTACAGTCACCGTCACCTGGCATATTGTTCAAACCATATAACTTAAACCAGTTTTTAGGTCACCTGAGCTTTAGCTCAAGTGACCTATTGCTATCCGTCGTCGTCCGTTAATATTTTACATTTTCAACTTAAGCTGGAATACTGGCAAAGGGATTTCATAACTATTTCATGAAAAGGTTACTGACATCTCCCTGACCAAGTGTTGTTATTTTTCGGGTCGATCAGAAATCCATTATGGCCGTCATGTCCGCCATTTTGAAAAACTATTTCAAACTAAGTCAAGTTCAGAATGTCATTAAGCGCGTTGATCAAGGATAACGAAATAACTGCAGATATTGTAATAACGAATGAATAATTTATTACTTAAACCATTTATGTTCAGAAGTGTCTACGAACCCTTGCTTTACTTGTAAATTTCACATTAAATTTCTGTAAATAACATTGTCGTCTCCTAACACCCAATTAGTTCGACTTGCTCCAATAAACCATGAACATCAGTTGAATGATTTTATTTCTTTTATGAACATAAAGTAGTTGAGTTGATATTCGATCCAAAACGTACAGGATCCTGACCAATATGGCGGCATTTATGGTCCTATACACGTGCCCGAACGAGCTACGCATGCTTTGCTGTTGAAATCGAAGATCAGATTTGCTGGACAGGGCCTGACAAAATCACCGCTTGGTGCGCATGTTAAGTAGTAGTGACATCCGGTGCAGGACTGGTAGTCGCCTAATTGACCTATTGATATCCGTCTTCGTCCGTCGTCGTCCGTTAACATTTTACATTTTCAACTTAAGCTGGAATACTGGCAAAGGGATTTCATAACTATTTCATGGAAAGGTTACTGACATCTCCCTGACCAAGTGTTGTTATTTTTCGGATCGATCAGAAATCCATTATGGCCGTCATGTCCGCCATTTTGAAAAACTATTTTAAAATTAATGTCAAGTTCTGCTAGGCCGATTGAACTGAAACTTGGTAGGAATGATCGGCTCATGGTCCTGACAAAGTGTTGTTATTTTTCGGGTCGATCAGAAATCCAATATGGCCGCCACGGCTGCCATTTTGAAAAACTATTTCAAACTAAGTCAAGTTCTGCTGGCCCGGTTGAACTGAAACTTTGAAGGAATGATCGACTCATGGTCCTGACCAAGTGTTGTTATTTTTCGGGTCGATCAGAAATTCAATATGGCCGCCACGGCCGCCATTTTGAAAAACTATTTCAAACTTAGTCAAGTTCAGAATGTCATTAAGCGCGTTGATCAAGGATAACGAAATAACTGCAGATATTGTAATAACGAATGAATAATTTATTACTTAAACCATTTATGTTCAGAAGTGTCTACGAACCCTTGCTTTACTTGTAAATTTCACATTAAATTTCTGTAAATAACATTGTCGTCTCCTAACACCCAATTAGTTCGACTTGCTCCAATAAACCATGAACATCAGTTGAATGATTTTATTTCTTTTATGAACATAAAGTAGTTGAGTTGATATTCGATCCAAAACGTACAGGATCCTGACCAATATGGCGGCATTTATGGTCCTATACACGTGCCCGAACGAGCTACGCATGCTTTGCTGTTGAAATCGAAGATCAGATTTGCTGGACAGGGCCTGACAAAATCACCGCTTGGTGCGCATGTTAAGTAGTATTGACATCCGGTGCAGGACTGGTAGTCGCCTAATTGACCTATTGATATCCGTCTTCGTCCGTCGTCGTCTGTTAACATTTTACATTTTCAACTTAAGCTGGAATACTGGCGAAGGGATTTCATAACTATTTCATGGAAAGGTTACTGACATCTCCCTGACCAAGTGTTGTTATTTTTCGGATCGATCAGAAATCCATTATGGCCGTCATGTCCGCCATTTTGAAAAACTATTTTAAAATTAATGTCAAGTTCTGCTAGGCCGATTGAACTGAAACTTGGTAGGAATGATCGGCTCATGGTCCTGACAAAGTGTTGTTATTTTTCGGGTCGATCAGAAATCCAATATGGCCGCCACGGCTGCCATTTTGAAAAACTATTTCAAACTAAGTCAAGTTCTGCTGGCCCGGTTGAACTGAAACTTTGAAGGAATGATCGACTCATGGTCCTGACCAAGTGTTGTTATTTTTCGGGTCGATCAGAAATTCAATATGGCCGCCACGGCCGCCATTTTGAAAAACTATTTCAAACTTAGTCAAGTTCAGAATGTCATTAAGCGCGTTGATCAAGGATAACGAAATAACTGCAGATATTGTAATAACGAATGAATAATTTATTACTTAAACCATTTATGTTCAGAAGTGTCTACGAACCCTTGCTTTACTTGTAAATTTCACATTAAATTTCTGTAAATAACATTGTCGTCTCCTAACACCCAATTAGTTCGACTTGCTCCAATAAACCATGAACATCAGTTGAATGATTTTATTTCTTTTATGAACATAAAGTAGTTGAGTTGATATTCGATCCAAAACGTACAGGATCCTGACCAATATGGCGGCATTTATGGTCCTATACACGTGCCCGAACGAGCTACGCATGCTTTGCTGTTGAAATCGAAGATCAGATTTGCTGGACAGGGCCTGACAAAATCACCGCTTGGTGCGCATGTTAAGTAGTAGTGACATCCGGTGCAGGACTGGTAGTCGCCTAATTGACCTATTGATATCCGTCTTCGTCCGTCGTCGTCCGTTAACATTTTACATTTTCAACTTAAGCTGGAATACTGGCAAAGGGATTTCATAACTATTTCATGGAAAGGTTACTGACATCTCCCTGACCAAGTGTTGTTATTTTTCGGATCGATCAGAAATCCATTATGGCCGTCATGTCCGCCATTTTGAAAAACTATTTTAAAATTAATGTCAAGTTCTGCTAGGCCGATTGAACTGAAACTTGGTAGGAATGATCGGCTCATGGTCCTGACAAAGTGTTGTTATTTTTCGGGTCGATCAGAAATCCAATATGGCCGCCACGGCTGCCATTTTGAAAAACTATTTCAAACTAAGTCAAGTTCTGCTGGCCCGGTTGAACTGAAACTTTGAAGGAATGATCGACTCATGGTCCTGACCAAGTGTTGTTATTTTTCGGGTCGATCAGAAATTCAATATGGCCGCCACGGCCGCCATTTTGAAAAACTATTTCAAACTTAGTCAAGTTCAGAATGTCATTAAGCGCGTTGATCAAGGATAACGAAATAACTGCAGATATTGTAATAACGAATGAATAATTTATTACTTAAACCATTTATGTTCAGAAGTGTCTACGAACCCTTGCTTTACTTGTAAATTTCACATTAAATTTCTGTAAATAACATTGTCGTCTCCTAACACCCAATTAGTTCGACTTGCTCCAATAAACCATGAACATCAGTTGAATGATTTTATTTCTTTTATGAACATAAAGTAGTTGAGTTGATATTCGATCCAAAACGTACAGGATCCTGACCAATATGGCGGCATTTATGGTCCTATACACGTGCCCGAACGAGCTACGCATGCTTTGCTGTTGAAATCGAAGATCAGATTTGCTGGACAGGGCCTGACAAAATCACCGCTTGGTGCGCATGTTAAGTAGTAGTGACATCCGGTGCAGGACTGGTAGTCGCCTAATTGCAGGTTACGACAGTCTGACGCTTTATGACAACCTCCTGAAACATTTAGAGAAATAAGGATAGTTTTTACAAAAGAAGTATAGAGACTATGTTAAGTAATCCACGTAATCGCAACTACTGTTTGATCCGTTGTCCGTTAAGTGTGACATGATTGAAACCTATGCTAGGTTCGGAGAAGGAATTGGCCTGCTTTATCCCATTTCATGTCATGTAAGGCAGCGAATATGTAAGCCCTGTAGAATTGGGTTTTTTGAAGTGCCCTCTGCCTAATTTGGGGAACTTTCCTAACAATGTGTCTGTTTCCTAATGCCTAACATGACAAAAAAATACTTTTGTGTTGAAAGTTTGCTTAGGTGATATGAAGGCAATGGTTTCTGTCCCCAGTCCAGGACATAACAAAGTCCTTTAAAATGGTAGTTGCTATTTTCTGCTAAGGTTCAACATTTAGGGTTCAGTTCACACGTTGTCAGTACAATGAGTCCGGGCGGAATGCTGTGTTTGGTACCCTTCGGTAGTTCATTATGAAATGTCAGTGGTAAATGAGTTATTTATAATCATATATTACTCAGAATTTGAAACAATCGAAAAGTAATTATTCATTATATTTGTATACCCCTTACAAAATTCGACATTTGCATACACATGCTAGTATGTCGATTTTCTCTTAATTGAACCCCGACTCGGGGCTTGTCTGACTAACAAGACTTTTGCAAAGAAACCTACTTGTGAAGGTACTTTGGCCGATCGTCTGGGCGCTGCCTCCAATTGGAATAGGAATGCCGGAATGTACTGAAAATAAAAAAAAAACAAAAAAATGTCGTTGGGTATCTTACATAGAAAACATCATGATGCTGATAATGTGTGGACTTCGTTCTAACAAATAAGAACTCTTTTGAACATCGGCTATTGCTTTATCTTTACCTATTCATGAGAAACTATAGTGATACAGATACGATACGGTTTTCACACAATTTTTCTTTTCTCTACAGAAAACCGTTCAATAGTCTTAAACTAAAACAATTTGACGAATATTAAAGTCGATTCTGTATTTCAGTTTATCCTTATACACCTTAAAAAAATGCAAATAAGGTATCGATAATTGAAAAGTGCATTTAAAAAAAGCGAAAAAAGGGTCTGACACAAATGTACATTTTATTACTTTCTACATGACGGTAACCTATTGTTGTCTTTAGAGATAGTTTCCTGAAGATAATATCAAGGGAGTATTTCTACCTGAAAACCGATACCTGGTCGATAGTTGAATAATTAATAAGGTTTAATCTTCGTCAACACTATTGTTTTGGTTTGGTGACACGAGGCTCGACACATTTTACACAATGAAAAAGATGACATGAAAAGGAATATTTTAAGCCTTCATGTAAGCTGATAGATATTGTAATGACAAAACTTTTTTTTCTGTGTTGATTAGCCTTTAAGCATGTCATTATAATGATATGATTAATTTGATGACAAGTATTATGGATGAGATTGCTATTGTTAAAAAAATGTATAATTACTTTCATTTAAGATCTTCATCAATAGTAGCAATAGGCTGGATATTTCACGTATAAATATTGTAGAGACAGTATTGATATCTAATCAAGCCCGAGAAAATTTCAGAAAGACGATAAGTATGATTGTTCAGCTGTTGTAAAAACCTACTTGTTGAAGGAACCTGAGTTGATGGCGTGGTCGGTATAACAACCGCAGGAGTAAAGTTATTGACGGGTGCATTCCAATCTGAAATCAATATATATATATTATAAGTCTTATGTATACATTTCATCGATTAATTTTTATGTCGTGAATTCGTATTCAAAGTTAGGATAAAAAGATATAATACGAAGGGGTGAAGTTGTGCTAGATAATATGAATCAATGTATATAGACCATGTAGGAAGCCGACTAATCTTAATTATCTGTTATCATAATATTTAGAAAGACCTACCCTACTTATTTGTCGAGGATGTTACCACTAATAAGGCTTACGACTTCAATTATTACGTCTGTCTTTTGATGTTATTGGCATTTCGATAGTGGTTGTAACCGGAATAATAAAACACTACTACTAACATATTTAGACATGCGATATTTTAAGATAAGGTTAAACCTCATAAAACCATTCAAAATCATTGAATCAAGTCACACTAAACTTATTGCCGTGGTTGATTAAAACATTTAAGGACAGAGATCATTTCTGGTATCAGGATTATGAATCTGCTTCAGACATATGTCCAAATTTCTTAATTGTACAGAACTTACATTTCTCCATAATTTGTATTATTACACGTTTTAGCTTTTCAATGTGGTTTCATTTGAAAGTGCATTTCAATATTACATGTATATTAAAAACTAGGCTAGAAAAGAGATATAAATTGATCTTTAAAATTCCGCCGAAATTTGTGACACAATACAAAGTTTAGCAGTTCATTGTGTATTCATGTAAAATCACATTTTGATTGAACATTATAAATTAGGTAATATCCAAAGTGAGACAAGGCTTCAATGCAAAGTCATCTTGGGATCTTGGCCCGTATTCAGGAAACCGTTCTTATGCGCAAGCCTGCTTTCAGTGCTGAAACCGACCTTCTTGTACATAATAACCAGCTTAGATCATGTAACAAGGTCACAAAGTCAAGTGTGAACATTGACGACAGTTAAAAGCTTTAAACATTTCAAATTTGCTTACATATCATTGACAAAATGTGATATTTTTATTAACGTATCACCGGCACAAGAAATTGAGATTGTGCACAGAATCTGTGTTGAGAAGAACGATTTCATGAATACAGGCACAAGAGCCCTAAAAGCCCTTTATTCTGTATGACTAAAGACTTACATTTTTTCTTCTCACACACGTAGTTAATTGGATTGTTACAATTGATGTCGTTAAGACCGGAATTCACGAGCTCTCCGCAGTGTTCGATAGTCAAGTAGTTATCTGGCATGTTTGGTAACCATGGACTGTCATTTTACAACGCAAAAATAAACAGATATAAATATTCTAATGACATATTTGATATTACAAAAATCTAATTTCCCGTAACACGAACGTGACACACACCCATAGGTGATTGCACGTTTACAATTTGGTAACCAAATTGTCCAAGCTACTACTAAAACATAGTAAAGCCCTTGATACGAATTTAAAGAAATTTAGAGGAACACTGGACAATTCAAGTGCAATAGTCTGTAAAGTGTGCAAATATTGATCCATGCATCCTTCTATTCTGTAAGCTATATGTCATTGATAAAACTGATATTGAATCCTTTCACAAGAAGAAATACAAAACCAAAAGTATTATTTAATATTTCAAATAGAAAAAAACATTTAAACGAATTAAATAGAACCGTTCATTGTAAAAGATTTTCTGATATTTCTGTAAATATTTATATTTAGAATCCCTGTCCCAATGTACTGTATTTATTTCCTAATCACAGTATATAACACTAACAAAGTTGGGCCACTACACTTCTGTTGACGTAGTAGCTCAGTCGTTTAGAATACGAAGAGGAAGTTCAGGGTTCGAATCCCGGTCTAGCCCCGCTATATGTTTACATTCAGAACACTGTAGAATACATTTTCTTTTTTTCATCTTTGTTATTTCTCAAAAATGTCCAAAACAGTATGGTTTTCATTCCTGAAATGAGTTGGCAAAACTATACTCATGCCAGAAAACGCAGTTTTCGAAACTGAGGTACAGATTTTGCAGTGGTTCGGGAATCCTTAACCAATTATTTACCTATCATCTCATACACAATACATCTCCAGCACACACGCAGGCATACACACATAGGGAGGTATTAGCCAGGTGGCATAGGACTAGTAGTTAGCGCCTGATAAGGCAGCTCCTGCGAATTCCTCAAATTGTATGGATTAATGTATTTGCTAATTGTATTGATTGTAAAAAAACAAGTGTATATCTGTTTACATGTACTCTAAAGCGCTTTAGATTGGCTTAGATTAGCTAGATAGGGCGCCATATCAAATGCTGTATATTATAATTATATTAATTGAACGTAAACCCTGGCTTTACTCACACAATGTTAGTGTCGTGGGGAGTCCCATCTATCCACTTGTAATCGATGGTGTCCCTCCGCGGTCTGTTGCTAAGACCGACCCACACTTGGAAGAGTTGGTTGTTAGGAAACTTCGTGTTTTTGACGACATTCAACTGCTGAATGACCCAGTTCTGCAAAAAAATAAAAATGTAATCAACCCATACTTTGTGCTGAAACACCTCACTTCCCAATCCTGAAAATAACCTGCATGATTTCACCAATGGACATTTGACAAAGTCTATGGTGCAGTAAAAAAATGTTTACTTTGTTTGGCTCTCTGCATCGAAACAACTAATTTTTTAACAGGTGCTTCTTTCAATTTCCTTATTTTGAAAACAATGAAGTCGATCTGCTGGTAGACAGACAGTCCCTAAGGTTGTGGCTAGAAACAATTTTGGCACAGTTTACATTTAACCAATTATTAATTATCTAGTGTATATAAAGTTATTTTGTAATGTTAGTTATGTATGTACTTTTCCCCTTACTTTGTATATCTAAATAACTTCGACAATCCTTGATCGATTTTAAATATTTGACTTCTTGTATCATTGACAAGTCTTAAGTGGACAAAAACCGTTTATTGTGTTCTAAAAAATGTTAACTTTGTTTGGTTTTCTCCGTCGACACAATGAAGTGATTAAATAATATTTCTTCGTTTTGAAATGTGGGTGGTCCGGTGGTGCAGTGGATAGCGCACTTGCCTTTGGGGTCACCTGCCCGACCACGTGGGTTTTCTCCGGGTACTCCGGTTTCCTCCCACACTAAGACCCCCCACGCACTAACATCCGGGCCAACAAGAGTGATTAATATAAGTTGTAATAACTTGTTTCATAACTGTTGTTAAAAAAACAAATTTATATATAAATGAAATGACAGCCAAATTGTGAATACGACAGCACACTTGCCCTTTCCGCGACGGTGTCGATCTGAACAAGGTCACCCTGCTCGAGTCTGCAGGCCTGTCTAGCGTCGTCGTATCCCTTTGTCTTGTTTATGGTGATTAGATAACACTCATTACTGCCTGGCCTCTCCAGCCATCCTGCCGGGCACTGCCCATATGGACCTTCAAGCAAGTAAGCATAATGTTTACAACATAACACGTATACAGTGATATATGTTGATTTTGTGTGTATCTCATTTCGATTAATTAAACTATATATACAAAATGAAGTATTTGTATCGCCGCCGTGCTAAATTTTGTTCACTGACTAAATTCCGACGGTACGTATTAAAATTTTGGTATCGGAAAGATCCATCCGTCTGTCTATTTATTTTAATTTTTTCAGAGATGATCATTTATCAATCAAGCATGACTGGATCCTGATATAACCTCGTCAGTATTTCAACTATTATTGAGTGTAAAGTTGTGTATGAACTTGAACGAAATCCGCCAAACATCAGTAGCACAAAATTATTGTTTTTCATTTGTTCAAGTATTTTTCTGGAATAATGGCAAAGGGAGGCAATCCATATACGATTAAACTATGTTTCTTTATCGTTAATATAGAAAAGAAATATGTGCAAAGAGACGCAACCCGTATACAGTTACACTTTTCTGTTAAGGTCTGAAAGTTCGTATGTACAGACAAGTATACTTTATATTTTAACATATGGAAGACATAGGTTTACTGCAAAATTTTAGTGAATTATTGATATCTTTCTTTTTGATTGATTGTACTGATACAACAATACATCAACTTAATTCTAAATATGTCGCTATGTTATGCATTGGTTTTATGTTAAATTGCAAAAATGCAGTGAATTCTTAATACTTTTCAACGTAATTGATCATTTTGATTCTATGTTAAATTACCTATGGCGAACAAATATGTTTCCGCCCATGCGGTACTCCTGTCAGAAGAATGTCGTTTAGTCATTTAGATTTATTTATTAGATACTAACCTGCTACAACCACATAGCTAAACTATAATCAATGTACTAACCAAATAGCTAGACTATACTCCATGTACTCACTAGCATCAGTAGGACAGCCAATAGCGTCCCACCTCAGAGAAATGTGCTTGTCCCACTTGACCGGATATAAGCGGATGTACTTGGCGATTACCGGACAAGGCAACATGTTTGTGACTGGAGTATCCTGGTCAGTGTTTCCTGGGAAAATCTAAAAATAAAAAAAACTCAAAGAACTCTCATATGAATGGCTTTATAAACACCATGACGAGACGGTTTCTTGTTTTAAGTTTCCAAATGTGCCCTTGCTTTATGGCAGCATACACATTTGAACAGCTAACAGTATAAATTCAACAACATTCAAACCAGTAAGGTTTCAAGTACTCGTTTGATTTCCTGCCCTGTAGGTACGGAGAAAGAAGTCCAACTACATGTAATGTTAATAAAGGACTTGTATAGAGCCTTCTGCTTAGAGGACGCTGAAGAAACCGAAATTATCTGCTGCCCCCATTGCAACACTAAGGTACTGTAGCTTATCTCAAATCCCTAAACGTTGTTTTCACGCAAGGATATTAAACCCATATCAAACAAATCATTAGATTGTCATCGCTTTCCATTGCCTAAATGTATACCTACCTGTAATATTAAGTCAATGTGTTTGTGATAAAAACAAATGCGGGAAGGAGTTACATCGGCAATTTACAAAATCGTAACACTACCCTAGGCAAATACATTATAAAAAAACACATGTTAGCAAATATATTTAAACTGATTGGTGTTTTTTTTAAAGTGAATTGTATATTGATACTTGAATGGATTTTTTTTAAATTCATACTTAACTATGACGTACCATATCATTTGGGCCATTTTTCACCATCACCCAGGTGGTACCGTCGACACTGTAGCCGACTCTATAACTGGAGACCTTCTGACTGCAGCAGTTATCTTTGGGGTTAACATTCTGTCCCTGGGTGACCATTCCCCGGACCGTCGACACTTTCGCCAATTCTGCCTGGAAAGTTAGGTATATCATGGTTCAGTAGTGGATTATTTATCAATTATGGTTGTATGGACCGAACATATTGTTATTGACCGAGACGAAGTTCAGGTCAATGTTAATTTCTCAGTTCCATACAATCACATATTCATTCGTTGCGGTGAATATCACTTTCGTAGTGTCCATATAAACACATATTCACCGAAATAAAAATCTTCATTTCTTAGAATAAATACTAAATAATGTCTTAATCATTCAACAACTAGATGGCACATATGAAATTATACTGAGGAAAGTACTGCATTGGGAAGAGAGCATTGTGACGTGATAATTTAAAGGGCGTTGTAAGTGAATATTTCCCTACCATTTCCAAAAATAGTTGTACCAAGTCAATATCACAAATGACCGACCTCCACGTGAGTATGATCCAACGAATAAGTATGTAGGAAAATATGTTTTATCTAATGTAACGAAATCATCCATTTGTTTTGTTTTTTGTATAACAAATATGTTTAACGTATAACATTGCATGTCTTAAATCTCTTTTCGAAAACATAACTGTCCCACAATAACATAACTGTCCCGCAATTTTAGGCTATCTGAAATTTGTTGGTCTTTTTAATAAAATTTGAGTCATCATAGCCACTTTCAATATTCAAATTGATGTTTGTCTTTTACCCTGTAAGTTAGTTTGATGTTTGTATTTTGCATTTGTTTTTATCGACCAGGCCCTAATGACCTATCCTGTGTTGATGGGCCGTTAAGCTTTAAAAATAATAATAATAATAAATTTTCTTTTTGGGTAATGGCAACAACTGATTCAGCTGTTGTTAATATGATGTGACCAGGCATTCGGCATAGTATTTCAGTGAGATAGCACTATAAAGTTGGCATCAGAAACACCAACATACCCTTCATCCGGCACACGTACACACCTGCGCGCATACACAGAAAGCATGGAGGTAAGTCATGATATGACCTCAACTGTTGACGGGACGTTTAATTTTAAAACAAACCAAACCAAACCTACCTGTATATACTGATTCTTGTCATTCACTCCAGCGCTCCATGCGCCTCTCAAATACGTCCCATTTGCGTAATCCACTGCAGTAGTAAAGAGGCGAGACCGATGTGGTTTGTGGTCATCGTTAGTTTTATTTGACCACGTTGAGGAAGCGGTCAGTTTGTTGTCGGGGATTCCTCTCATTCCAGACACCAGGTATTCGTGACACACTTGAGGGGCTGCAACACATTCAACGTATTATTCCTGTCGTAGTGATACCCAACAGAATGTTCCTGACACACCTATGGGCTGTATTGACATTCAACAGTATATTCCTGACACATCCAGGACGTTCAGTAACATTAAAAAACATTCTGACAAATAAGGGTTGTTGCAAACACATTTAACTGAAAAATTAAACAAATACATTGAACGAGTTGTAAGGACATGTAACAGAATATCCCTGACAAATTAGAAGTATTGCAACACTGAATATTTGGAGAACAATTTAGGGTTGCAACGACATTCAACGGGACAATCAACACAATGAGAAAATACAGAGAGGTAGATATAAGATTATGATGATTCGGAGAAAGAATATGCTTTATTCATCTCAGCGCATGTTATCATAAGAGACGACAACTGCCCCCTGCAAGACTGGGAGATTTCCTCTTTGCTTTTACTAAGAGAATATTGAAGAGACGAAACTTGATCTGCTGCCTCAAATGCATCCCTTGATATCCTTATTTTATATTAACTTCTCTACTCTTTTTTGGCGGTGTTTCCATAGGCACCTGTGTTATATAATCAGAACGTTGTGAGGACATTAAACCCAGAAAAATAAGCTAAGTAGATACTGGACAGTTCATATACATCACTAAGAATTGACAAGTCCTCTGAACATAGAAGACCAAGTATATCAGTCAAGAGTGATATGTGGAGGCTGGTCGGGTGGTGCAGTGAATAACGCAGTTGCCTTTCACCAAGGCGGCCGGGGTTCGATTCCCTGATCAAACGTGAAAAGGTATGAAGTCATCTGCTCGACCACGTTGGTTTGTTCTGAGTGCGCCGATTCCCCCGATGTTAAGACCCGCGCGCGCGCTTACATCGAGGCCAACAAGAGTGGTTAATATACGTGGAAATAACTTGTTTCATAATTGTTATAAAATAAATAAAAGGTATTTACTGGTTTGTATTCAGCCTTATATTAAAGTTTGTATTGATTTGTTCTAATCAGTGTTATATTTCTGGGAACCATTGGTCTACTGTTGGATTAAAGATGTAAGTGTTATATCAAGCGTATTTTGACCAATTGTTGTTACGAAGACGAGTTAAGATATTGGTGCTGTATATGATACTGTTATAATGAGGATTTCTGCACAAATCTTAGAAATACTTTCAAGGTATTTCTAATCTATAATTTGCATGCTTACCAGTCATGTCTTATTTAAATGTATTTTATATGGCAGTCGTTAATATTCGTATCAGCAAGTTCACATTTTCACTATTCGATTAAACCTATTTGATAGAAACAGTACTTTGGGTTGTTTGCACTTACCCCCTTGTGGCGTCGTTGTCTGTTGGGTTACCGGGGCAACCGTTGTGGTAGTCGTAGTTGTAGTGGTAGATGTTGTGGGGATTGGATCACAGTCGTACTGAAGGTCAAGGTATTTGGAGACCCCCGGGCACGGATTTTCACCAATCACATTGCTGTCTGCGGTCAGCTGACAAGCATTTAGTCCATTACATTTGTTGGCAAGGTAACCGGTAGTTCGCCCGGAAGAGTAACAGTTCGTTGTTGGATCGTTGCTGCATACGATCTTTGATGTCCGACCAAAGTTCACACTCCGAATTTTCAATGCATAACCATTTAAACACGAGATAGAATCCGTTGAATGCTCACAAATAAACTTATTCACTGGAAAAAAGAAATCAATAGAAACTTAAATTGAACTAAAATAGTAACGAATATATGAATATTATAATTATATGATCTAAAAACAAAATTTCCAAACCGCATAAAAATCGTTCAGCCTTATACCGATACATTGACGTGTAAAGCGTACGATTTTCACCTGTCCATCTATGACTAATTAGCACAATTGTAACTTCTGGTAAATGGGACACTCTCGGCTGTGACGTCACAAGTTCAAAGGGTGTAGAAGCCACCATGGAAGGAACGGGCGAGAGCGAGAACATCCATGAAGCGTCAGTGTACGAATTTACATAGGTTTGAGGAATCTAAAAATGAAACTAAATGTAGATGGCAACCAACCATATCATATTTGTCAGAACTTTCAGAGAGTGGGTTTCATGGAAACCAAACTGACGACTCTGATGTGGGTACCTGGGAACTAATGAGAAAGTTGCTGAATAAACGAATTTGAGGGAAATTAAACGACAATACTTTCTATGTTGCTGATCAACTTTTTTAATTGTGTATTTTAACTGGAAAGCTAGTTTGCAATCACTTGCTTTACCCTTCATTGAGAACTTATTCCATCTTGGCATCGTCGTTGAACGGCGCCATGTATTGACCGGTTTCTGTGCCGGATTCTTGCGATCTGAAAGCTGTTGGTGTTTGTCTTTTTAATCAAATATTAAAATTGACGTTTGTCTTTTACCGTTAAGTTTGTTTGTTTTTATTTTGCATTTGTTTTGTCGACCATATGTTGGTCTTAATGACCTATCCTTTATTGATGGACCGTTAAGTATTGATAATAATAATAATCATTCGAGGTACACTGTAATGAAATGAACTCTAAATCGCTCCTTCGCATATATTTTTTACCATTGTCACCTCGTGGTGTATAACACGAACATATCGCAGCCTCCCAAAATACACACACATACACTACACGCATGCGTCTTGCACACAGGGGAGGCCGTCCTTAAATGACCTTAGCTGTTAATAGGATTTGTTTGTTTGATTTTGTTTAACGTCCTATTAACAGCTAAGGTCATTTAAGGACGGCCTCCCCTGTGTGCAAGATGCATGCGTGTAGTGTATGTGTGTGTATTTTGGGAGGCTGCGATATGTTCGTGTTTGTCTTCTTGTAATAGCGCGGAACTGATGCCGACTTTATAGTGCTACCTCACTGAAACATACTGCCGAAGACACCCAGCAGGACGCCTCACCCGGTCACATTATACTGACAACGGGCGAACCAGTCGTCCCACTCCTTATTTGCTGAGCGTTAAGCAGGAGTAGAAACTGCCATTTTTAAAGACTTTGGTATGTCTCGGCCAGGGGACAGAACCCAAAGCCTTCCTCACAGGGGCGAACGCTCATCAAATGGCCAAAAGTGAGTTAATAGGACGTTAAGCAAAATCAAACAAACAAACAAACAAACAAACAAAGTTACACAGTATCAACTCACGCCAATGATATTTATATACTGTACGTCACAAAGAATTACATTGATAAAATCATGCAAATACAATATTTGAGTAGAATTATTGATAATTTAATTTAGTTTGTGAATTAATATTATAAACGTAATAATAATTTTAAAAAATGTATATACTTAAACACTTTTTTTTATTTACTTAAGCCGCCTGTTAACTGTCTTCTTCAGTAGCAGTAGCAACCTTATATTACCGTGATCTCTACAGATTAAGGGTAATACAAATTTTGTTTTTATTGTATTGTTTTCGATGTTAAGGTTATATAAAATGAATTAATACAAAAATGAAATGTCATAATATTTCGAATGATATAATGAAAACAATGGATACTATCTGAAACTTCGCTAAGACTTATTTCGCACTTCATTATATTCGTCAAGGACATTTTGCCCGTTACATCGTGTATGTGTAGTATGTTCCGCACTTATACTGTTTACCGGGAAAACCCAGTCAAACTTTCGCTCTTCACCCATAAGATCAACTTTCGTCCTGTGTTGATTTCGCCCCTAAGGTTAAATCACTATGGTTGTTAAGCTGTTTACTTTTATTAGCTGTATTGATAAATTCGCCCTGATTACATTGGGCGAAAATGACGAAATTTAAACTGCGGCAAAAATATCCCGGTATTCGGTATTGTCCGTCATGATAATTTCGATCTGATTACAGCAATGCGAAAAGGAGAACGTTAAAATTTGGGAAAATATACCGATAAACGACATCAAATTACTTGATGCAATGTTTATAATTTGGCATATACAAATTAAGTTTATGAGTTTCAAGTATGTATACGTACTTCTTTGTAATTTCTTCCAAAGTTAAATATGATATCACATGAATCATTGTATACTTACACGAGAAAACCACGCCTGGGAAAAATACTGTAAACAGAAACAGAAACAAACGTTAATAAAATAAACATTACATGAAATTTTACATAGAATAACATTTTTCTAATATTTAAAATGTAAATGTTAATTATCCCCACTCTACGTAAAAAGATGAATCATGTCGTAAATGTGCAATTTACTCAATAGTAATGGAATGTCCATCAAGATTTTCTTTTTAGATACTATTATTCAGAAGTGATGTTTTTTTCTTATGCTGTTGCTGGGACGTTAAACAATACTAAACCAAACCAAGAACAACTTTGGTTTAAAACATTGAACGTAACATACACACACACACATGTTGTTGGCACCTTTAAAATTTGGCAATAGCTACAGTAAACCAAACAATGAAAAACACTGCATCATACATCTTTATCGGCCTTCTAGGACTCATCGGTAATGCTAGGGGCCAAATTGTTCGAGGTACAGAGGGACAGGTGCGTAAAACACATTATGAATTAAAACATTTACAGGCGTACTGGTTAGATACAAATCAAATAATCTGTAAAGTGTGTATATTAAAACTACATTTCAGATTCCAAGCAATAAAACTACCAAATGGATGATATATAATGCTCTTATTTTTCTTTACATTTCTTCTCGTAATAGCATACAAGCACTTCCAAAAGTAATGTAGATTATTTCGGGTAAATGTACATTTGCATTTAAGACGGTTAAAGAAGAATTTAAGGAATGCATTGTTATTTCACAAAATGACTCAATGTGTAGATTACAAAGTATTAAAATTGTATGGAAGAAAGGTACAAAACGTCAAAAAAATCTTTGTAATTGTTTATCATTATTGTTCTGTTCGGTGCACTTACCGAATACAAGAAACATATTTATGCATCTTGGTAATCAAAAGAATTAAGTTATTTCTTTTTGTAAAGTTTCACAAATGACTGCACAAAAAGGAAAATACACAGCCCAAAAAAATAACCCTAATTATATTAGGCGAAAATGACGAAATTTAAACTGCGGCGAAAAATGTCTCGGTATTCAGTATCGGCCGTCATGATCATTTCGATCTGATTACAGAAATGCAAGAAGGAGAACGTTAAAATGGGAAAAAATATATCGATAAACGGTATCAAATTACTTGATGCAATGTTTATAATTTGGCATATACAAATAAAGTTTTATGAGTTTCAAGAATGTATATGTACTACTTTGTAATTTCTGCCAAAGTTAAATCTGCTATCAGATGAACATTTCAGACTCCAAGCAATACAACCACCAAATGGATGATATATAATGCTCTTATTATTCTGTACATTTCTTCTCGTAATAACAGACAAGCACCTTCAAAATTAATGTAGATTATTTCGGGTAATTGTACATTTGCATTTAAGACGGTTTAGTTCAAAACGTCAAAAAATCTTTGTAATTGTTTATCATTATTGTTCTGTTTGGTGCACTTACCGAATACAAGAAACGTATTTATGCATCTTGGTAATCAAACGAATTAAAGTTATTCCTTTTTGTAAAGTCTCCCAAATGACTGCACGAAAAAAGAATGCACAGCCCCAAATAATAATCATTGGTGTTGGTTATCGCTATTATTCTTTTCGGCGCAAAGCTTAAGGCGTTAAATACATGATACGTGTACTTACCGAATGCAAAAAAATATTTATGCATCTTGGTAAAAAAGAGTAAAGTTAAAGTTCCACAAGTGACTGCACAAGAGAAATTACACAGCCCAACGGTTCCAGTTGTTTTTGTAGGAAATGTCACTGCCGTCAATGGCGACGTTGCGGTTATGTCTACAACCGTCTAGTATATGGTCTGTTGGAGATCCCCGAGGTCTATATATCGGAGTTTGGTTCCACACCCAGTTGTCCTACTGTTAAAGATACCAGTTAATGGTTATTTCTTGCATTCCATCCCAGTATGTGATGTCACGATTGCTGGCTAAACAATAGTGTTGTTTCCACTTTCGGCCTTTTCGTAATTGAGGCCTGAAAAGGGGTAATATCCAGATAAGTGAGGTCCATTGGGGGAACAAATTTCAAATTGGTAAACTAAGATTTCTTTTAAATTATACAATTAAATCTATATTTTCATTACATTTAATAACTAATTTGTGTGTGCATGTTATTGATAATTAAATCAATTTCGTCTTAATTTTTGTCAGGTTGAAGGGGTAAGATCGTTTGTACTTAACACTGGGGTACCCGGTTGTGTTGTTATCGGTAAGAGGCCGTACCTCAACAGGGGTCGAACCGACTATTGGTCTGTTTACAAAACATCCCATTTGTGATGAACTCCAGCCCTATATTTGGGGATTATCATGAGTGGACACGGAGCGGTTGGTCAGATAAGGCGGCAAGTACACTCGCTCTTCACTAACGGGGCGGGGACATCTCACGGTACAAAACATGAAAGAACGTCACGAATATTGTGATGGTAATTGTGCACATTTTTTCTTCCTGTGTTATTGATGTGCTTGTTTACTATTTACAACAACAATGGTCCAAATATACATGTTATGATGGGAAAGCTTGGTTGACAACCACAAGTGTTGGCACGAACACTTAGCTTTTTGTACCCATCTTTATCAGTTTGTATGTATTAGGGACGGATTTGTCGTCCATTGACGACAACAGTGTGTCGAGCAAACATAAACAGAGAATGAATATCCAGCATTAAAGGTCAATTGAGAAAATGTTGTTGCAAATAATGTTATGTTTGAGAAACTGAACTCAGTGGAACTCTTTACCAACGTCATCAACGAAATAAAAATGGATAAGATACTCTACTCAGCGGAACATCTTAAACGAACTTTTATAAACTTAATTCATAATTATTGTGAAATAAATAAAACTTTCCTTTTATACAAGGCTTCTGAATATTTTTTATTTATTTAAATGCATTTGGCAGTAAGGCGACGTTCAAATACAATTACACCTAAAAATTGCAGGATACACATATGGACAAACGAAATTGCACTTATCATGAACCGACAAAAGCATACTACTATTTAGACTGCTCCCGAGACAGATTATTTTATAATTAGAAAGTTTGGATAAACGAATACATGCTGGTTTTGGTTAAATTGTAGTGTTTACGTAACTTCAATGATGAAACAGAGTAAATCAAATTTTAAAACAGATAAACAGAAAAGCAAACGTTTCCATTGGTGTTTTGTGTTAAGGAACTTGCGAGACATGTATGAGTCGATGTTTGGCTAAACAAACTACAACAATGTGATACGATACATATTTTAAAATCCCTTATTTAATTTGGAACACCGGAAATATTTATGTTAACAGTTTAAGAGTTGATCTGAAGAATTGATGTGTCCGGGCGTTGTGGTAGGCGGCGCGTAACGTAGGTCCGGTAGACTGTCAATTCTGCTCCGAAAAAAGACCAGAAATAAAGATCATTAGCCGTCTTTTTTAACTTTTAACTGAATTTATCTAAAGAAAAAATACGAAACAGTAAAAAGTTTGGTCAATCGTATAATATTTGTTTTTATTCTTTCTTTTATTCGAGTTGTCTATTGTCTACTTTGGATAGCAATGACAAATTTTTATGATACTATTTCAAGGAAATGAAGTTTCGGTCTTATTCATCCCTGCCAGGTCGGGAATTGAGAAAATAATACAGCTGCTGTTATACACTCCTAGCGATTAAATGAAATAAGCTGCACCCATTGCAACTATTTTTTCTCTTTTCTTTTTTAAAGATATCTTCCGTTTCACAAGGAGACAAACACGAACATATCGCAGCCTCCCAAAACACACACGCATACACTACACGCATGCATCTTGCACACAGGGGAGGCCGTCCTTAAATGACCTTAGCTGTTAATAGGACGTTAAACAAAATCAAACAAACAAGCAAACAAATCACAAGTCTTATTTGGCAAAACCATACTGCTAAGCGTTGCCACATCAGGATTGAATAAAGGGTCTGCCCCCTGACCGAGACATAGTCTTTTAAATTGGTACTGCCAGTCCTTTGCTTTAAACGTGTGTGGGAAGGGACAGGTTAGCCCTTTGTCATTATGTGACAAGGTAAATTGTTATGTTGGTTGGGCACCAGCGTACGACATTCCAGTAAGATTACAATTCAAAGAGACTAAATTCTCAGCGGACAGCGTCATTTTTGCGAGGACATAAAACAAAAACAAATAAGAACATATATTATTCAAATAACGATTTTTTTGAAGAAACAAAGGATATGAAATGTAAATATGATTTTCATCTTCGACTTTAACAGGTGGAAGGAGGCAAATACACCAACATACCCTGTATCCGGCACACATGCACACATGCTTACATAACACACATGGAGGCACGTCCTTAACTGGCCTTAGCTGTCGATAGGACGTTAAACCTGTACAACCAATCGACCTTAAATGAAGCAAACAAATGTCTTAACTTGTTTAAAAATTGTTAAAATACTCCAGATTTACTCCAAATTGTGATTATATTCCTCTGTGTCAACGTAAATATAAACGTTCCATCAATAGCATTGGGTCTCCTAGTGAAAATTACGAAATATATGAATATCGGAGGAATTTCTGGGGGTTTCTCTGAATCAATTGCTTCAGTGATTCAGGTTAAAACATTGGTACTTTTAAATAGCTTTGTCCTGTATAAAGTATACACAAAGACATCACGTAGCCCTAGTTCAGCTAAATAGCCTATATATTTGATTAATTTTGAAACGAGTAAAACATTTAATCATATACCACATTAGTCCTTCTTTATAACCCTGAAGGTCCTGGAAAACAAATGTTTTGTTTCATCCTCCCTTCATAATTAGGGCCCGTATTAATGCTGAAGGATGAATTTTGTGTTCAAGCCATCTTTCTTGTGGCTCCTTTAAATAATCTGACAAAGAAAAACAAACCCAGTGGAAATATTGAAAAACAGTACATGACTTTAAATCGCTCCACAAATCTTAAAAATTGTTGACAAAATTTTATATGAACTTTCATCACATAATCGGCCTGTTATCCAGTGATTTCGCCCGTATAATATTTTTACATATGTCACTAGTGTAATATACCCTGGAGCGTTTTTCATTGGCTGTGCCAGTCAGAAATCAATTGTGACGTCATAATATGGACAATGATGTGACGTCATAAATTGTGAATGGCGCAACAAAATGTCTCCGTTTGATTAAGCCCTCTACACTTTGGCTTTAAAACCTGTCAAAATGTAAGTTTTCTGAGTTATGTGATAAAAAGTATCTTAAATTTGTTTTCATTTCATATGTCTTTTATGAAACTCGTCTCGAAGTTTTAATTTTCGCTCGCCAAGGCTCGCAAATGTAAAAATTCCTTAGACTCGTTTCATAAAATGCTATATGAAATGAAAACTCATTTAAGACCCATGATGAATCTGTGTTTGAGTATGGGAACTTTCTCACGAATACGGGCCCTTGGGTTCTCTGCTGTGTCATCCGCTAAGGGGACACCAGAAAAACCAAATTCATTAAGTACCTTCATAGCAACACTTCAAACAGTGCAACAATTCAGATGGAATCCATTATTCGGTACATTTTATAACCGTCAATAAACCACAATAGTACTGTGTGAATTTACATTAAAATGACCAAAATATTGTTATACTTTTTGAAATGCAATGTTTGAGTAAACATTTAGGTATAGATTTTGCTTTATTTTAACCGTACACAAAACCAACAGACACTAGCGGGTATTCTGAAGCAGGTTTGGTTCAGAAGGAAGTACTCGATAAAATATTTTTGTTGACCATCTAGTTCATAAACAACGTTTTATCTTGAAACACTGCCGCTCTAGATAGCGACGCGGGGTCATGTAGCCGAGTGACCGGTTGCCCACAAACACAGGTGTTTGGTTAAACGAGGTCACATATGTCAAGTACCAATATAGAGTTACGGCATCCATCTCGGAGGACTGGTTGGCCCGTTTTCAGTATAATGTGACCGGGTATACTACTGTGCTGGGATCTTCGGCATAGTGTCTCATAGCCCGAGTTTCCTCTAGACATTTTAGTTTAAACTGTATTTATTTCTTGTAATATAAATACAAATTAAACCTGGTTTAATGTAATTTATGAATGTCCTAGTAATACTTTGTTTTTTATTATGTCTCAATATCATGAATTTTAAAGTACTGTATTTGTTGTATCTATGGTTGATATGAGCGGACGCTGACCATTAGAAGGAGGTGAGAAGGTCAAAAGTCGTATGAATTTGTAGCTATTTTTAGCACCCTATATAAGTATGTGCACTAGCTGACCCTAGGTCACAAGCCTGCTGAAGATGATGGAGGAACAAGGTGTGTACCTTCTTTTTACATCATGATCTAATTTTGAAAAATGTCTAAGTGATTTTTATTACCCACCACCTCCCCCCCTTCTTGCCTCCTTCTCAATATGATTATTACTTCTTAAAGGGGCGTTTTCTTACCCCATCTAAGACTTTTAAGTACATTGGACAAAAACTTTAAAAGATAACGTTTTTATATAAACATGTCGTTTTTAATAAAAATGGCCATTTTCAATTCATTTGAAGTGTTCTAGTTGTTTATGCACTTAACATGTCTTACAAGCTTGCCATGGTGATATTTACTTGGAATCAGGCATAAAATACATTATATTTACAATATATAATCAACAACGATTCGGAAACAAGTACTAAATACTTATACAATGTCCGTTTCGTTACGTTAGATATACGATTCTTGAAAGCAGATATAGTAATCATTAAATCATATTGAAATAATTAAGTTCTAATGCATATACATAAAATAATTTCGTAGAATGGCAGAAATATATAGGGGACATGTAAACAGTGTAACAATTTTCGATGAATGTGAGGAG